CTTAACAACAACAACAACACAACAGTTGTAGATTAAATGTATTTTTCTGTGCTACAATGTTTTCCTTCAGTTATCTAATGGCAAAAAAATTAGAACTTTTGAGTTTATCTCGCAAATTTTCTAAGACTACTTTTTTGTTTTCAGTAGTTTATTTTCTTGGTCTATGTTTAAGTTCATGGATTCTTTTTGTTTATCTCAATTCTGTTTTTTAGTGCTATATAGATCTTTTTCTTCCTTTTTAAAATCTAAGTTATTGTATTCTGTACAACAAAAGATTTACAAGGACTCATCAACAGATGAATGGATAGAAAAGCGATAGTATATTCACACAATGGAATACCAAGTAACACTGAAAAACAACTAATAATATATTATACAACATGAGTGATCCTGGAGGACATTATGCTTAGTGAAATATTTCAGTCATAAAAGGACAAATACTGCATAACACCAGTGGAAGTCAGGGGAAAGATGGTATAAGTAATGAATACTGCACTGGAACAGATGAAGGAAAGAACTGTTTAAAAGGAATATGTGATAAGGCATTATTTGTGTGACAACAGTTCAGAATAAGAGGTGCATATCAAAGTGGACTGGGGTAGGGGAGGAAGGAAATTAAGCAACAATGAATGGATTTTTTTAAGTGAACTGGAGAGGTAGAAAGGAAAATGTGCAATAATGAATGAATGAATGAAAATCTAACTTTTCCATAAACTTTCATTAAAATCACAATAAAAAAATTCCATCTTGCTCCTTTTTATGTCAACTACCATCTGAGCCACTCATTTCATGTATATTTCTTATACATAGATTCTTTTGACTTTTGCCATCTTGGTTTTGTTATCTATTCATAATCTTTATTCCATCACTATATGCAGATTTTTCACTTTATGCTGAGTAATTATAGTGCATGCTACACACTTTGGCTATTATAAGAGTCTCTGTATTATTTTGTTTCTATGGAAGGGTTGATACATATATCAAGAAATTGGCAGAGCCAAGTTCAGACTACAGGTAATTCTGGAATGCCTTCATTAAATAAGTTTGCTCTTTTATTTTAAAGGGTATTTTCAATGCCATTCAGAAAAATCTCTTAGATCTTCTCTCAGTCACAAGTTTGTAACCTGCATGGTAGTCATCAGTTCTTACAGCATTTGGTATAGTATTCAGGGTCTGTATAGACTTATGTGGGTTTGGATGAGTTGAGGAGTTCACATACAACTTTAAGATTCACTTTCTTCAGCTTTCTCCTCTCTACAGTTTAAATAACGTATTTTGGGTCCCAGGAATCTGCCATCTTGGTATTTTGCTCTAAATCCAGAGATTTCATTTTCTAACTCTACTGAATGCTTCCTGTATGCTCTTGTTTCTGAGGCCAACTTGCAACAAGATAGAGAGAAATAAGAATTAGGATTCTCTATGTACTTCAAGGATCATAGTTGGATGCCTACCTAGTCAAAACCATTCATACAGTATTGTTTGGGTACTGAGACAGAAAGAACAGGAGAAAACAGAAAAAGGAGAGTCTTAGCAGAGAATTCCCCTTCTCTGATCCTTGTTGTTAGGTGTCAGTGTTATTGGGATGAGTATGACCCATAGCGACCAGGTGAACAACAGATCTGAACCCTGTCCTATCCTGTGCCATAGTCACACTTTCTGACATACTTGAGCCTACTGCAGCCATCACTGTGAATATACATCTGGTTGAAAGTCTTCCTCTCTTTTGCTGACCCTTCACCTTTCCAAGTATCATGTCCCTCTCCAAGGAATAGGAATAGCCTCTCCTAGTAATATGTCCAAAGTATGTGAAATCAACTTTATCATCTTTGAGCACTCTGGGTGCTCTTTCTCTAAGACATATTGTTTGTTCTTTTAGCAGTCCATAGGATATTCAGTATTCTTTTCCAACACCATAGCTCAAGGGCATCAGTTGTCCTGTCATCTTATTCATTGTTCAGCTCTTAAATATATAGCAAGTAACTGAAAAGTATCCTGAATAGGTGCACATTAGTCCCCAAGCAAACATCATTGTTTTTCAATAATTTAGAGAGGAACATGCCTGCAGACTTTCCCAGTGCAATACATCTCTTGATTTCCTGACTGCTGGTACCAAGGGTGTTGATGGTGCATCCAAGTAAGACCAAGTCCTTGGCAATTTCCGTCTTTTCTCTGATCTTTACAGGTTCCCTTTTCTAGTTTTTGAACCAGAAAGTTTTTCTTGGGAATCTTTCTGCCCATATCTGGTGCAAAATTTTGTTTCTGAAGTTGTCTTTGAGTCCAAGCCAGGAGACATCAGAAGAAAAGAATAACTTAGGAAACTTTTCAAAGTTTGCTCTTATTTTGAGTTATGCTATTGTTTCATCCTTTTCAATAAGCCTGCTAATATTTACTTTTCAGAGTTCGTAGAAAGCACTTCATGTCTTCTACCCACTCAGTGGGTTAGAGAAAGTAGAGGGTGTTTCTTTTATTTTCTTATTGTTGTTGTTAAATTCTGTCAAATCAAGTATGAGTCATAGTGAGCTTATTAACAAAAGATGTGAATTTTTTTCTATACTGTGCCATCCTCACACTTCCTGATACACAAGAGCCCATGGTGGCAGTCTCCTTCACTGACCCTTCACCCATCTCAGCTTCATGTCCCTCTCCAAGGAATAGGCCTTCCTAGCAACATGCTCAAAGCATTGTGAGGTGAAGCCTCATCATTCTTGCCTCCAAAGAGCATTCTGGCTGCACCCTCTCCAAGACATAGCTATTTGTTCTCTTGGCTGTCCATGGGATGTTCAATGCTTTTTTTCAGCACCACAACGCAAAGATATCAATTCTTTTTCTGTCATCCCCATTCATTGTCCAAGCTCTCAGATGCATAGCAAGTAATCAGAAAGACCATGGCCTGAATTAGACTCATCTTAGTCCTCAAACTGGTATCATTACTCCTCAAAATTTGGAGAGGTCGCTAATTGTCTATTTTCCCAGTGTATTGTGTCTCCTTATATTCCTGAGTGCTGGTACCAAGGGTGTGAATTGTGTATCCAAGCAAAATGAAGGTGTTGACAATTTTAATCTCCTCTCCCGCCATTACAAGGGAGCTCTGATGGTGCAGTCCATACGAAGCTGGGCTGCTAATCCCTAGGCAAATTCCTCTCTAGTTGTTCAAGTCCACCAGCAATCTCCTTCTGTGCAATTCATAGCCTCAGAAACCTGCTGGAGGGTCAGTGATGAGTTGGTTCCAATTAAATGGTAATAAGTTTTAATGAAATCACATTACAGGACACAGAAGTTATAGAGCAAGACAGCCTGTAATTTTCCACCTTTTCCTGTCAGTAGATTTTTGTGCACTGCTGATCCTGATTCTCTCTGCCTGTCTGTCTCCCTCATTCTTACAACAACACATGATATTATGGGCCTTGCTGAAAGTTTGATAATTGAAAACCATATAAAGTTTCTCCTGATAATAATATTGAACAGCTAACCTTAATAGAACATTTACAATACGCCAGACACTGTTATAGTGCTTGTTGTTGTTGTTGTTAGGTGTTGTTGAGTCAATTGCAACTCATAGTGACCCAGTATGACAGAAAGGAATTATCCATAAGACATTCTAGGCTATAATCTTTATGGAAGCACATAAGCAGCCTTTATTCATAAAGAGCTTCTGGGTGCATTCAAATATCTGACATTTCAGTTAGCAGCTGAGCACTTGAAGTATTAGGAAATTAACACTGCTTAAGAGCCCTACTAAGAGCTCTGGCAGTTTGTTACATTTGCATTGCCAGTCAAAAGGTCAGTGGTTTGGATCTACCAGCTGCTCTATGGGAAGAACAAGTAGCTAACTGCTCATATCCCGTCTCATTTCTCTCCACTATCCTCTTTCTCAAAAGAAGCTCTGGTGGCAATATTTTGAATGTATAGGGCTGCAAACAGAAAGATTAGCAGTTTTAATCCATCATGCAGTCCAAGATTTACACCCTTGGAAACCTGATAAAGGTGTCACTTTGAATTGAAACCAACCTGATGGCACTAGGTTTAGTTTTATTACACACACACACACACACACACACACACACACACACACATCTGTGTGTGTGTGTATATATATTTGTGTGCATGTGTGTATGTGTGTATATGACTAAGGATGACTGAAGAATAGATGCCTTTGAATTGTGGTGCTGGAGAAGAGTCTTAAACATACCATGGACTCCCAAGAAGACAAATAAGTCTGTCTTGGAGAGGGTGAAACCAAGTCTTTCCTTGGAGGCTAGGATTTTGAAGCTCTACCTCACTTACTTTGGGCATGTGGCCAGGAAAAATTGGTCCTTGGAGAAGGACATCATGCTTGGAAGGGTGGACAGACAGTGCAGGAGAGGGAAACCCCAGATGAGATGTATTGATACAGTAACTGAGGCGATGGGGGTTAGTGGTTGGAGTTAGTGAGACTGGCTCAGGACAGGGAAGGGTTCAGAGCTTCCGTACATAGGGTTGCTAACATCGCAGGTGACTCAATAGCATGTAAAAAAAATAACATGACAGGCTTGGAAGCAGGAGTGGCATCCACTTCTTAAACAACACACCACCTGTGAAAAAAAGCCAGAAGTCCTCTACAACCATCAGCATTTATCAAAGTTCATAGAGTTTCTGGAGGCATGTTGTTTAGGAAGTAGATGCCGTGTGTGTGTGTGTGTGTGTGTGTGTTAATGGTCTTTTCTCCAAAGGAGAAGATGATGCACTCCCCTCAAAAGATTTGCAGCCTCAGAAACCCACTGGAGGGTTGCTATGAGTCAGGACCAACTTGGAGACAGTGGGTTTTATCCTCTTTCTCTTCTTTTAAGCATTAAAGAGCAAAGTTTTATAATTTGGTGATTTGGGTTTTCTTTTTTAATCTAACAAAGTTTTTGTGTTTTTTTTCTGTTCTTATCACAGTTTATCTTCTAGCAGTTTCATGTGGCATCTTCAAAGTAATTACCAATACAGCACCTATCAAACACATTCTCTGAAAAAGAAACATGGCCAAGGGAGTTAAAGGCCCCAAGGGCAGGAAGATGACACTAAATGTGGCCAAGAATTGCATCAAAATCACATTTGATGGGCGAAAACGTCTTGACTTGAGCAAAATGGGAATTACCACCTTTCCCAAATGCATTCTTCGACTCAACGATGTGGATGAGCTCGACCTTAGCAGAAATATGATCAAGAAGATTCCAGACTCAATCTCCAAGTTCCAAAACTTGCGCTGGTTGGATCTTCACAGCAACTACATTGATAAGCTTCCAGAGTCAATAGGCCAAATGACCAACCTGCTTTACCTCAATGTCTGCAACAACAAGCTGACCACCAATGGGCTGCCTGTGGAGCTCAACCAGCTCAAGAACATACGCACCCTGAATCTAGGCTTGAACCATTTGGAAAGTGTGCCTACTACACTAGGTGCCTTGAAGGAACTCCATGAAGTAGGACTGTTTGACAATCTGCTCAACAGTATCCCCAATAGCATTGGCAAGCTCCCCAAGTTGAAAAAACTCAACACAAAACGAAACCCTTTTCCCAAAGAACAAGAGTCAGAAATATTCTTAGATTCCATCAAAAGGCTGGAGAATGTATACTTGGTGGAGGAAAAGGATCTGTGTGGACCTTGCTTGAAAAAATGTCAACAAGCCCGTGAGAAGCTGAACAGAATAAAAAGTATAACCATGACTGCATCAAGAAAACCCATGTTTTCCAGCTTAGTTTCACCCAACTCCTTGGCTAAAGAATTGCAGGAAGAGTGGAGGTGATGGGGGCCCTGTTTCTGAGACTGTAGAAAAGAGAGGGAGAGAAGATGGCAGTGGTTTATATCAATTGTCAAGACTATAAAATACCTTTCCCTATCTTTTCTGCTTATGATTTTGCTGATTGAAGAGTTTTGTTTCCTTTAATGCTTTCTTTCTTTTCTGTATGCAGATGCAGATGCCTAAACATACAAGTAGGGAGCTCTGGTAGCTTAATGATAAAGAGTTGTGCTGCCAACCCAAAAGCACATGATTTCAATATACCAGATGCGTCACAAGAGAAAGATAGTCAGTCTCTTCCTGTCTTATTAACTGCCTGTGAAACCATGCTGGAGTGTCAGCTATGAGTAGCTTCTGGCTCAATGATACATAACAACAGCGAAAACATACACAAGTACAGTGAATCAGAAAGGGTTTCTCATTTCTGCACCCAAACTGTCCTCTACAATCCTTGGACTGCACAGGCATAACATTTCAGAAGCAACCACCAGCTCCAAAAAGCGAAGCTTATTCTATGAGAATGTTTTGAACAAGTTCTTCAAAGGTCAGAGATGTCAGAGCATGGGAAGTAGAAAGACAGTCATTTGGTCTTGAATTTGGGGCAAAGTTAAGCCACAGAGATGGACAGTGTTTTCATTAATTATTGGCAGATAACACCTTTGTCCTATAGCAGTGTTCCTTCTTTTTCTTCATCTTTGTCGTCTTCTTCCTCCTCCTCCTCATCTTCTTCCTCTTCTTCTTCATATTCCTCCTCCTCCTCCTGCTTCTCCTCTTCTTCTTCTTCTTTATGTTTTTTCGTGCTTACCTTTTCTTTCCTAATTTGCTGTAGGAACTTTGTAGGCTATACCTACTAAATCCCTACTGGCTGTGAATGAATAAAGTTGCTCAGCCAATAAAATTGCTAAATCCACTGCTTTTCCAGATGTTTTTGAGACTAAATAAGAACAAGGTCACACAGAGATTGGGGCATTTGGTAAATAAATAGGCCCACAAACTGTGACCAATTTCAGAACTTTTCTCTTTGCTTGTGTAGGATGTAGGTAAGAAAATTTTTAAGGAGACAGAGCACATAATATCATTGCCTAAGAAACTTATGATAGTTGGATTGTATACAGGACAGGACTAGCATAGTGACAAGTCAAAGACATGGAGTCAGGCTACCTAGATTAAGTTCTGCCTCTTATTTGTCATGTGATCGTCTTGCTTAACATTGGCCTCCTAATCTGCAAAATGAGGACAGTGATTTTTGGTGTTTGGGTTTTCTTTTAAAATGTATTTCATTCATGTACATTGTTAGATTTTTTTGGGGCCCTCTCTCCAACTACCAAATTCTGCAATGCCATGATCTCCCCCTCTCCCCAGCCTCAGCCTCCCTGACTCCTCCTCTTATCTCTTCGGATAGCTACATACATCCTTCTGGTTATCCTTCTGTTTTTGCAATATATAGTCTTACACAATATTTGTTCTTATGTATCTGAGTTAGTTCACTCAGCATAATGCTCTCTAGCCTCACCTATGTTACATACTATTTTTTAAAACCATTGCTCCTGAGTGCTGCACAGTATTCCATAATGTCAATGTAACACAGCTTCTCAATCCAGTAATTTGTTGATGGGCATTTGAGCTGTTTTCATGTTCTTGCTATTGTGAATAATGCTGTTGTGATCATCAGTGTACAAACCTCTATTTGTATCCCAGTTCTACTTTCTTTGGGTTATATTTCTAGCAGTAATATGGAATCATTATGTTCATCTTTTTGAGGAAACGCCAAGCCCCCTTCCAGAATGGTTGTACCATTTTACAAATCTCTTAACTGCATGAGAGTTCCAATTTCTCCATGCACTCTCCAACATGTATTGATTATTGTCATGTTAAACTTTGCCACTTGCTATTGGGTGAGATATCTCATTGTAGTTTTGATTTGATTTGCATCTCTCTTATTGCCAATGATTTTGAGCTTTTCTTCATGTTTCTGTTGGACTTCCCCTATGTAAAGTCTTTCCATATCTTTGGCTGTTTTATCATTGAGTCATTACACTTTTTCTTGTATAATATTCTTTAAAATATTATTATGAAACCTTTGTCTGAGGTGTAATTGCCAAATATTTTTCCCAGTCAGTTGGTTTCCTTTTTACTCTATTAGAAAAAGGTTTTGATGCACACAGGGACTTAATCTTTGGAAGGTCCCATTTATCAATGTTATCCTCTCCTAGTGGTGCATTTCTGGCTGTATTTGCCAGCCTCTTTACACCATAGACTAGGCCTTCTAATTCTTGTCCATTTTGTCTCTTATGATCTTTATGGTTTTAGACTTTACTCCCACATCTCTGATCCACCTTGAGTTGATTTTTGTGCATGGTGTGAGATATATATCCTGTTTCAGCTTTCTGCAGGTAGAAATCCAGTTTGCCAGCACCATTTCTTGTTGAAGAGTTTGTAATTTCCCCATTTGATAGGTTTTATTTCTTTGTTTATTACCAGTTTGATGGGTTTATTTTTGAGTTCTCAATTCTGTTCCATAGGTTTATGTGTCTGTTATTATACCAGTACCAAGCTGTTTTGATTATTAAAGTTATGTAGTAGATTTTGAGGTCAGGGAGTGCTATGCCTCCCATGTCATTTTTGTTTTGCAGAAGTGCTTAGCTTATTCACTCATTTCCAAATAAACTTGCCTATTGCCTTTTTTATCTCTTTGAAAAATGAATTTGGTATCTGTATTGGGATTGTGTTGAACATGTAGACTACTTTTGGTAGGATTATTATTTTCACTATATTGAGTCTTCCTACCCATGAACAAGGTACATTTTTCTATTTCGTTAGGTCTCTTATTGTTTCTCACAGTAGTGTTTTGTAGTGTTCTTTATAAAAAAAGTCTTTTGTGACTCTAAAGTTTATTCCCAAGTACCTCACTTTGTGTTAGGCTATTGTAAATGATCCTGTATTCTTGGTTTCCTTCTCTGTGTGTTCTTTGTTATGGTAAAGGAATCTAGTTAATTTTTTATATGTTGATCTTATATCCTGCCATTCTACTGAACTTGTCTACTAGGTCTAATAGGTGGGGTTTTTGTTGTTGTTTTTAAGACCTTTGAATTTTCTGTGTACGCTATCATATTGTCTGCATATAGCGAGAGTTTTACTACTCCTTTGCCAATTTAAATGTTGCTTATTTCCTTCTCTTGTCATACCTCTCCAGCAAGTACTTTTAATACAATGTTGAATAGGAGTGGTGAAACTGGGCATTCTTGTATAGTCCCTGTTCTCAGGAGGAATGGTTTTATCTTTATTGAGAATTATATTGGCTCTAAAGACATTCATTATGCTGAGTAGGAAAACCAACCCTCAAATGTTGCATACTCTATAATTCCATTTATATAATATTATGAAAATGATAAAATTATGATTTGGGAAACAGATTAGTAGTTGTCAAGGGTTAGGAACAGCAGGAAATAGTAAAACTGTCTATAAATTTAAAGAGAATATTCTAGACATTCTAGACATAGAAGTGATAAAATTCTGTGTGTTGATTGTGGTGCAGGCTACATGAATCAACATATGTGATAAAATTACTAATAAACATATTTATAAGTAATGTCACTTTTCTAGTTTTAATATTGTTTTACATAAGTTATAAGTATTGGAAATAACTAAATGAAAGGCATATGCAGATTCTCTGAAATTTTTCACAACTTCTGGCTATAAATCTGTACATCTGTTCCAGTAAACCTGTAATTATTTCTAAATATTTTTAATTGTATCAGCTAAATGTAACAATAAACAGATCCTCATACATCTTCCAAGTACTAGTATAAGAGAATAGAAAAAAAGACCTAGCAACCTACTTGGAAAAACTAGATAGTAAAATTTAAAGTCTATCAGTTGTTGAATATACTGCTGGAAGATGAGCCCTCTTGGTCAGAAGACATTAAAAACACACAGTAGCCACAGCAGTGATGCTGATCATACAAACAAACATTGTGAAGATGACACATGACCAGGTTGTGCTACATACTGGCAAAAAAGGGGTCGCTGTGTGGCAACCAGAAACAATTGAGGTTAGAAAAGACGGAGTGATGATAGGTCAGAACAATGATACTTAATTACACAAAATATAATTTTCATGAATGATTGTATAAAACATGAATTACGCGTACAAAATAAATTTATATAAATTGTATGCAAACTAATTTAAAAGTATTATTGTAACAAACAAAAATAATGCTAAGTGTGAAGTGAGATTGCTAAGGAGCCAGGGTGCAATCCTGAATGTGCCTGAAGAGTTAAGGTATTTTTTTAAGAAAGAGCACCTTAACCTTAGCTCACTGAATAATATTACCCAGCATTAATTTTATCCTTGCAGATTCCCAAGAAAGATGCTAACATAATGATAAAAAGAGGATACATCACTTCTCTCCCCTGTTCAACAGTTTCCATACTGGCTGTGTGAGAAGGGGGAGGGAGGTTCCAATCAGCATGCTGCTGAATTATTTCTTCTCTTCAGAGCCATGACCTTTCAAATCAGCACAGTGGTATCAGACAGTAAGGCTATGCAAACAAGACTGCTGGATGGAACTGAAGGGAAACAGGGTGAGGCTGGGTGCAGAGGAGGGATGGGGCAAGCTCTTGACTTGGAATGGGTCTGCTAATTGGTAGAGAGAAGCAGAATCATGGACTTTTTTAGGGCAAGACAGAGAAAGAATAATGTTGGGAGTAGAGTCTGAAACTGAGGCCTGGGTTCTCTGTGAAAAGTTTGTAAATGCTGGAGCACCACCTGCTGTAGTAGCATTTGTGTCTGTTGTCTATTCAAAGTTATGAGTGGTGAAGCCCTTATAGGCACCGTCCTTGGCTGCACTCTATCAAAAAGCCAAAGGCCATGTCTCTCCTCCCAATCATGGTGTTAATATTACCTTGACCAAAGTCATGTAAGGCTCACTATGGATTTTCAGTCTCCAGTGGTCAGTAGCACTGCCCTTGAGTGAGACTGGAGTGGAAGTATGTCTTGTGGAGAGGTGGGGAGTAACTTAAATTTTTACCTCTGTGATGTACACAGTGGGCTGCTTATGAAGATTTCAGAGTTCCTTATATCTGATGTGTAAATTTTCAAAAGTTCTTTGTCTTTACTTATTCTTCTAAGATAAACTATTATAATAAATTCTGGAAACCCTCAACTGTAGAACTTTATGCCAAAAATCACCTAAAATTCGTTCCAAACACTACATTTTAGAATTACTACTACTACTTACAGCAGGGGTTCCTTGGAAAATGATGGTGGTTTGAAGCCACCCAAAGGCACTTAGAAGAATGGTCCGGTGGTCTACTTCTAAAAATTAGCTCTTGAAAACTCCATGGAGCACAGCTCTTTAAGACAGATAATGGGCATATGAATCAGAAACTACTTATGGCAACTGATGCAATTACAGGCAGTAACATGGCATAAGCACTGTTGCTTCCAAGAATTTCTCCAGAGCAGGGATTCTTTGACTCCTGGAAGCAAGTTCTGCATTCCAGACCTTATCCATGGACAACATGGCTTTGAGAGGATGTTCTATATCTCACTGCTTGGGCTCCAGAGGTTGAAAGAGAGCCAGAGAGACATTTTAGTATTATATTTCTCTATGAACTGAATCATTGAAAAGCAATATGATTAAGTCAGATCATGCTAGGTTCCCCAAACCCTATCTGTACAGATAAGCTTTAAAGTTAGCTTCTTACATTTATTGAGAACCAATATAGAAAATTATATTCTCCAGTACTCTTTTGGTTGGAATCCAAATTGCGAAGATGAGTGGAGTAGCTGTATTCTACAAAGGTGTGTTTTCTGGTTTTGGTGGAGGCTTTTGTTGTGGAATGTTTGCTCATAACTAGGAGTGAGCTGATTTGATTTGGCCTCCTATTTAAAAAGGCATTTGGGCCCTTGGGCCTGTGGCACTCAGGCCTGGTTTAAATTGTTTTTGGTCGAACATTCTTCTACGTGGTCTATCAATTTGCTGTACAGAGGTAACTCATGGTTGCTGTGATGCTAAACACTGTGACACTGAAGTGTCAAATGTGATGCTGGTTACCCTTGGTGGACAGTGTTTGGTGGAGCTCCCAAATTAAAACAGGCTTAGAAGCAGGAGTGGCATCCACTTCCAAAATAGCTTGGCTCCAGAAACTCTATGAACTTAGAGAAACGATGGAAGTTATACAAGTGTTCAGGTCTTTCATTCATAACTTCACTATGAATCTTCTATGACTTGGCATTTAATAATAGCAACAGTCCTCTTTTACATGTCTTCTGAGAAAAAAAAAGAATTGTCTTTTTACCCACTATTTTGTAGACAAAGATAATTAAGATATTGAGAATCAGGAGAAAGTATATTCTGTTCTTGTCTGCTTTAAAGGAGTTTCCAAGTAATTATTAAGGAATTGTGCTGAAAGCAAAGATGGTGAAGTTTCATCTCTCACATATTGGCATGTTGTATGCAGATGTTATTCCTCAGAAAGGACATCACGCTAGGAAAGGTGGAGAGTCAGTGAAAGAGAGGAAGGCCCCCCAACCAGATGGATTGACACAGTGACTGCAGCAATGGGCTCAACTGTGCCAGAGATAATGAGGATGGTACAAGATAGGAGAGGTTTCACATCTGTTTGTAGGGTTGCTGAGTTGTGCTTGACTTGATGGCATCAAACAAGAAGTGCATTTAAGGGCCCATTCCTAGTCAATGGACCTTCAGCGCAATCGTCACCCATTTGTCATTGGAAATTTCCATTTTGTCATGAGTCTGAGAATATTTTAGTGGAGATTCTGGACTAAGAGAAACTAGGAAGAAAAGTCTAGTGTTAAATTGAATATTAGCTAGTGGATATTCTGTGAATAACAATGGTTCAACACTATTTTGTACAGTATTGCCTTGTATCGGAGGCCATCTCAATAGCAGTGAACAACAAGAACTCGTGCAGCATCTTCTCATACATGCATTCTCAACTAGCTTCCTTTCCTCTGTAACTTTAGATGCTTTTTCTTGTTTTAGCAGATGCAGCCTATGTCTAACACTGTGGGGCTTCTAGCCATCAGATGCTTTCATTGGGTTCTCAGTGGCTCTATGTTTTAAGCCTTTCCAGGCTTGCAGACCCTTGTATGCTACAGAATATCTGATCACAACATGGTATTGCCTTCAGAATAGCCTAATCATATAGCAAGGAGAAACCAGTGGTTTATGCATCCAGTGTTCATATTGGCTCCGTGTGTATTTCCCACCTGAGATCCATAGGAACCTCCTTAGTGTAAAGTTATGGAAGCAATCATTCTCACTGTAGACAAATCTCTGGCACCCAGAAGTTTTCATTTCTATGTGAGAGGGAGGCTTAAGGGTGGATAGCATTCAGAAAATGCAAATCAGCCATTAGTGGCTAATGGTATAAAAACTCATAGCCCATGCACACCTATGTTTATTGCAGCTTTGTTCACAATAGCAAAGAGCTGGAAACAACCTAAGTGTCCATCAACAAATGAATGGATAGAAAAGCTCTGGTATATTCACACAATGGAATACTACGCAGCATTGAAAAACAAGGAACTCATATAATATTATTCAAAATGGGTGACCCCGAAGGACATTATGCTGGGTGAAATATCTCAGTCACAAAAAGACAGATATTGCATAGTGCCATTGTTGTGGAATGGGATTGACATCAGGGTTGGGGTTAGACTGAGAAAAAAAATGGATAAATTATGTATACTGTATTGAAACAGATGAGGGAGACAACAGTTTAATAGTGATATATGATTGGGTAGTATCATTATGACAAGAGTCCAGAATGAAGATTGCACAGTGGAGCGTACTCGGGGCGGGGGGCAAGGGGGCATTGTTTATCAATGAAGAAGTTTTTCTTTTACTTTTCAAAGAGAAGAGCGAATTTGGGGAGAGGAGTGCACATAATGAAATAATGAATGAGTGGAAATCCAAAATATCTGTAAATGTTCATTAAAATTAATAAAAAAAAACAGAAAACAAACCCTCATAGCTCAAGCCAAGCATCTTGTGGCAATGAAAACCCTCAGAACCAAATACTCTTCTCTTTTAAAAACAAGCAGGCTCATTGCTGCTGCTGTTGTTTATTGCTGTCAAGTCATGTACAATTCACAGCGACCCTATGAACAAAAGGCCTGAAACCATTAATGGCACCCAAAAAGCAAATGTACATTTATCAAGACACAATCTATGGACAGAACATGGTCCTGGAAATCTAAATACAAAATGATCAAGCTCACACCAAGCATTTGACCATGACAGTAAAGCTCTTCTAATGCTTGTGCCTCCTATTTCATACTCATAAATATTTTTTAATATCACTTCTGGAGACATTTCTCCCTCTACCCACAGCCCCATACACTCAGAGAGAAAACCAGCAGCCCTGTTTTTACTGCTATGTTCTCAATTGTAATTTAAAGCAATGGACTTATGGATCCTGAGCTGGCCACTCAGAAAACTAAGTACTTGTAAATGGAGTCCTAGATAAGGCTGAACCCATTTCACAGATTAACAAATTAGCATCTGATCTGCACACTACTGCACACTAGTTTCTGTGCAGACTCTGGCCATATGGAGGGCAAACCTGGAATTGGGATCCATCCTCACATAAGCACCTGAGCCCCAGCTGGGTGTGGATCAATGCCTTATTGGTCACTTAACTCCAAATAACCACCAAGAGCTGCCATTTTGTGTGTGTGAGTGTGAAAAACCCACACAGCACATGGAACAGCAAATATGACAGAGGACCTGTGGGAGTAGGATGACATGTGAGCACAGGAGAAAGGACAATGAGAAAGCACAAGCAATCAGATGCCTCTGGCATGGATTCTTTAGAACACTATTAGGTAAGCATGGGCCCAGACCAGGCCCGTAGTCTGACACAGCCTTGCATCCTTACCTTAAATTAAGGGAGTCTTCAGTGATGCCTTTTCCTTTCAAGTTGGGTTGGAAAGAACAGAAGCTAAAAATATAAAAAGCAAGCAAAGGGGTTAATTTTTAAGCAGAGCCCAGACTCCTCGAGTACCAGTGCAGACACTTGAGGAGTCAGACAAGCAGGAGGATTCATTGTTGACCCTCACACCTTGATTGTCATGATCACACGACCTGGAGTACCTTTGAAGGCCCCTCTCAGCATCTCAGATATGACATACTCTTGCCTGACTAATGACAAGACGTTGTTGTGTCGTTGTGCATCACAGAACTGACCCATAGCTGACTGTGGCAGGTTTTCAAAGGCAGTAAATGGAATGGGAGGAGATTGTCCAACCTTCTCCCACGGAGCAACTGGTGGCCTCAAACCTTCAAGATAGCACTGCAGTTTCTTGCCACAGGGCCACCAGAGCTCCCTGTAAAAATAGTAAACTAATTATGAAGGTATCCCTTTCTTAAATGATTACTGTGTTCCAGGCATGACACTCCCAGAAATGAATGCCACATGCATTTAATGTTACTGAATAGAGTGGGTGTAACTGGAAAGTTTATTCTAGGCAATACTTATTCTCTGAATGAAAGAGTACAAGAATTCAAATAAAATTTGAAAAATACAGTTTAATATACATAAATCACAAACTAAAAGAATTAATTGTTCTCAAGTCAAAACTGACTCATAGCTTACCCTTCAGCAAATATTGGAAAACCTGTACATCAGATGGGAGGAGACTTCCCCCCCCTTTTTCTCCTGTAGAGCTGCTGGTGGACTTGAACAGTCAATGGAGTAAGGCATTGTGATTCCCTACAGACTAGGTTACCAGAGGTCCCTCACATAAATATCTTGAGGAAAGATTTCTGAAGTTTAGCATTATACGTCTATATTTTATATATGGTCTAAAATAGGCCTTGAAGACAATTTTCAGAGGTAGTCTAGCAGTATTACCTCTGCATAATCTCCCTGGGAGGCTCACCTGGGTGAAAGGAGGCATACCAAGAACTGGCACTATCTCTTTATAAGATCTGTGTTCTGCACTCCAGAACTGGTCCTTGGACCCAAAAGATAGTGTTTGTGCAAATCACTGGCAAAATATCACAAAGGCCAGGCTGAAGACTTGGAGCACAAAGTGAGGTTTCCCAGATGAGAAGAGAATGTAACTCTCCTTTTGTGACCCCAATCTTGCTCTTGGTGTGTTTGTGTTTAGAAATCTACTTTCTTTTCATCGTTACTAGATCTTCTGCATCAAATATTTTGTCTATTAATCTATAATTTTTAAATTGTCAGTACTCAAACTCATTGTCATTGACTGAGAACTGACTCACACCTAGCTCTTCACTGGGTCTCTGAGGTGATTGGAATGAGAGGAGATTTCCTATCTTTCTCTTGAATTTAGTGGTAGATTTAAAACTGCCTTTGTGTTAGCAGTGCGATGGTCTGTGACTACACCACCAGAGAAAATAACCATTAGGTTGGTTTTTTTAAAAAATATGCATAGTGGCTCAATTTTCCAAGATTAATTATTGCTAAACAAAAAATAGTTTTTAAAAAAAATAGTTGTTTTATACAGAAATGGGAAATTCAACTGTCTGGAATTCTTTCTAGAAAATACTTCATTGGAATAACTCAAACATACACTATGGGGTCAAAAAAATAGTTCAATAACAAATAAATTGAAAAATAAATCTAGATCATTCTGGAAGATATATTAAATGCTCAATTTTATGTTATCATCTTTAATGTTAAACAACTCACCACCTATCAACATGCTTAGTTTGCAAAGAACATGTATCATGTGATAGTCAGCATTATGCAAAAATGGAGGATATGGTCTAATCACAAAATAGAGACTCATAAACTGCCAGATCACACCTCTATGTAACTGCCAAGTCACTAAGAACCATGGCCTAGTTAAGTGGACGTAGAGTCTTAAACATCACAGGCAGCGTTACTCTCACCTCACCTCTCACCTTTTCTTACTGACAGATCTATGCTGTTAATGCTCAAAACAGTAGATTTTGTGGAATATTAATCATACATGTAAAATGTCAGGTGATAGCCCTTTTATTAATTATGATCCCTGACAACTTCAATAAAAATGGAGCCTGCTTTCCAGGAGCTTCTGTCATTTCTTTTCATTATGTCACATAATTCAACAGCTTTCTGGGTCAGAAAATACTTCCTGTACCCAACTTTAGTACTACCTGAGAGGATTTTTCCTGAGACCAGAGATGAGCAGCCTTGTTTCTCCGCACTCAGTTGATAACCAATTTCTGTAAAAGGAAAATGTCCAAAGTCTCACCTTTTGAAGGCCTTACTTCGGTCACCATTGTGGAAGACAAGAAACTTGGAATATCCATTTTGGAAAAAGATTTCCAGTGAGATGTCCTACAAAGAGAAACCCCTTTTATTACTCTCTAGGTGTCAACTTGAGGTAACTGTTTTCAGTTCCTAAGAGGGTGCCCTCATGTGACAGAGCAGCCAGGAGAAGCACACTGGCTGTCCTGGTCAGTCCTTCACAGTGACCAACATGATCTCAGGGTGGAATGCGAGAAGCCAGAGCTGGCAACAGGTCTAGGTCTTTCGGCTGAAATTCAAAGGAAGAGCATCACTTCCAGGACAAGTGAGCAAAAGGAGCCAGTTATAAATTTAATTATGTTCCCAGAAAGATCTTAAAATCTAATCTCTGTAAAATAAGTGTGACCTTCAAATCTAACCTCTGTACAATAACTGTGACTTTCTTTGAGAACAGAGGTTTTGCTCTGTTATGCTAATACAGTCACATAGCATAAAATGAGTTCTAAACCTAATTCCTCCAGTGGGGTCTGTGATAAAACAGAAAAAAAAACAAAGAGAAATATAAACTTCACAGGATGACAGAGCAAGATGAATTGACAAGCCCAGGAACTCCAAGGACTGCCAATAATAGAAAACTGAAAGAAACAGTGCACAGACTACTTCTCGTGCTGATACCTTGAATTTAAATTTGGGTGACCAGCTGGGCAAGGTCTTCTCAGAACAGGAAAGATGGGATACAAATGTCAGTTATTATCCCGTGATCCTCTACAGCTGCCTTGCCAGGTACAGCTGAGTCTGGCAGTGTATGGCATTGTGGAACTGTGGTGCCACCAGGGAAAAGCAGGGTAAAGAGGCTAAACTTAAAGGACACAGTCAGAAAGTAAGGTCTCAAGGCCACGAGGGAGAGAAATTGTAGCCAACGGTCAGAGCTCTGAACTAGGGAGCCCACATGTGTCAATAGTACCAGGCTGAACTCCTATGAGAGAGACTGGGGCCTCGCCGAGATAACACGTTCAATGGGCAAGCTGGCCCTCCTTCTGCACACAGACCTACCTGCAGAAGGAAGCGAGCCCGGTGGATCTCCTTGATGTCTGAGTAGCTGTGCCGCTGGCATGCGTAATGGTCACAGGACCTGTCTTTGCTGCACATGTTGAAAATGAATGGATCGCTGATGCTGGAAAGGAATCAAGATGTGAGGTGTGCACATCCACGTGTATATGTGAGACAACATCTCACGGACACCCTGCCCACCCTGTCACACCCACCCTCAGCTCATTGCCAACAGGGGTCAGTCACCCTACTCTCCTGATGTCACCTCCTGGTGTCAGCTTTTGTACAGTGTGCAACCACCTTGCCCTTAAAGGAACAAAACTGCCAAGCTCTTCAGGAAGGTAACAATATCACATCCATGGCAGGCATTGGTATGGGGTACAGAGATTTAAAAAGGATGTGTCCTGGATGGTTCCATGGTGGGAAGAATAAGTAGGAGATAGTAAATCAATTTTATAATCATAAACCATTATTAGAGAACCTGGGGTGATTCTCATTTCTTCTTCTTCCTAACAGCAGGGTTAATCAGAGGCCTTAGACCCGCAATGAGCAGGCTGAGTCCCAGAATGTCCACTTCAGTCATGTATTTTAGTCCCTTTGCAGGGTGCTCTTGTCAATAGTAAAAAGCCTCACACCCGTGGCAGGGCCTAGAGGACAGAAGTAACCTGAGCCAAATGTGTTCCATGACTATGACAAAAACTGGCATAAATCAGACTCTTTTTCCTGGGACTGGAAAGTACCGATTGCTAAAAGCTAAGAAGTTCTCATATACCAGGTTCTCATATGACCACAAAGATCAAGTGCAAGCCAAAGCAAGGATTTAAAACCAAATATGAGAAAAAAAGGAGGGGAGCAGACAAAAGCAGAGAGACCAAAGTCCAAGTGAGGTGGTGAAATTGTTTCCCTCCCTCTCTATCCTTGCTCAAAACATAAACCTCATAGAGTGTCCATGAATGCCCAGTATCATATGGTCCTGCAAGACTTCTCCACTCAGTGAACACAATGAATCAATGAGGGTGGTATGACATTGCAGTCTTAAAATCTTGTGCATTAGGATGGATGGATGGATCAGGCTAGCCATCCAGTGAGGTCAAGGCACTATAAAGAATTCAGCCTGGAATATATTCTCTGACATTCAATCTCCTACACTGGAAGGATGTGGACTCAAACCTTTCATAGTCCTGACTGATCTCTTAAGAAAATCAGTCTCCCAACTCTGGGTTTTCAAAGATGCTTACTGTGGTGTTGTTGCTGTTATTGTTGTTATGTGCCATCAAGTCACCTGAAATGCATAACAAACCTATGTACAACAGCTCTGAAGTCTGTTCTTTATTAAGCCAATTTCATTGTCTCTAACACATCTACTCCCATTACTCCAGTCACTGTGTAAATCCATCTCATACAAGATCTTCCTCTTTTGTGCTGTCCCTCCACCCTTCCAAGCATGATATCCTTCTCCAAGGACTCATCCCTCCTGGTAATATGCTCAAATTATGTAAGATAGAGCTTCAAAATTTTTATCTCCAAGGAGCAGCCTGGCCTCACCCTCTCCAGGATGAACATGTTTGTTCTCTTGGCAGTTCATGGTAATATTCAATACCCTTCTCCAGCACCACGGCTCAAAGGTATCAATTCTCATTCTATCATCCTTAGTCATTAGTATTGAACAAATGCAAGTGTAATTTTGATTCTGGATGCTTTTGCTTAAAATCTGCTCCTCATGGATGTCTCTTTCCACCATTAATGCATCTTCTTGAATCTAAGCTAAATTTCCCCCTTACCTTCTCTGATTCCCTGTAAGTTATAATGAGAAGTTTAATTTCTATCCTTGGTTTCTGGTGAAAGGGAGCTCTGGTTGCCTAGTGGTAAGAAAATGTGCTATAATCCAGAAGGCATGCAGTTCAAATCCACCAGCTGCTCCAAGAGAAAATGATGGATAATCTTCTCCCATGGAGTTAAGGGTTGGTTAAGAGTTGGTTCCAACTCAACGATACACAGCAACAACATCCTTGGTTTGGGAAATCTGATGGTGAAGTCTTCAGGGAGTTTTGATGCTACCCAAACACCATACCTCTTTGGTGGTTTTAATTCACCATCTACCCCTCAGGAAAAAGGTAGGCAATCTCCTCCTCAGTGATTTATAGTGTAGGAATTCTCCCAGAGGGTTAGCTATGAGTTTATTCTGCCTCAACAGCATTGAGAAAGGAGAGATCCTTGCCTTAGATCTGACAAAGTATGAGCAGAAGTGGCACTGCCTTTGGCACATGCTTACTTGAACCCCAGGCTTCCCAGTAACTGAGTTACCCAGCAGGCTGACTTCTATCCCTAGCAGGCTGTGAAAAAACTCCTGTGGCAGAGTTGCCCACAGCCATTGATTATCTATATCTGCGCTCAGCTCTGCTTCCACTGAGCAGTCATTATAATCTTCATGTTACAAAGAGGAACCATCACCTACCATCTGTTATTTTGCTGTATTATGGTGGCTTGTGTGTTGCTATGATGCTGGAAGCTAAGCCACTAGTATTTAAAATGTCAGCAGGTTCAACATAGCTTCCAGACAAAGATAGACTAAGAAGGAAGGCCTGGAAACTTATTTCTGAAAATTAACAGTATAAGCATTATAGACCAAAACAACATTGCTTTCAACATATCACTGTAAGCTGGGCTAGCTAGTTCTTCTTAGACTTGTCTTTCTAGTCTCTTTCCCAAATAAACTTTTCTAATTGTTCCCTTGTCAGTAAGTTTTCTTTTAATAAATTAGAACTAGTATTTTTAGTTTATCTAGGTCAGTTTTAATAGTCTGTTTTTGAACACAAACATTGAGGAACTTGCTCTGCAGGGAACAAACCCAAACAGTCATCAAAAAGGATCAATTGCTAGAGAAGAACACAATTTTTTTTAGAATACCACTGATAGAGAAGCTTAACTTTGGTGAGAACAGATATTTCAGTAGCTATACTGATAGCCTTGATCATGCCAGTGAGTAGAATGGTGACAAATAACCACGCAATTTTTTGTTATGTTGTTTATAATGTAATAATGAAACAAAAGCCAGCTCCATAGTAGCTATCGATCTATTTATCTCCATAAATGAGGAGACAGTAACCTGGAGAGATGAGATTTTTCCAAGGTCATATGATTATTAAGACATCAAACTGCGATTCACAACCAGGCTTATTGACTCTAAAGTTCAGTTTCTTTCAATAGCAATACGTGTTTGCCCCTGACATTGAACAGCTCCCTCATTATAATTCTGTGACACTGATAAAAAAAAAAAAAACCTTGGGAAAATAGTCAGGTGATTTAGGAGAGAAGACTAATTGTTCTCTTGCTCATGCTCTTGGAATAGTAACCTACTGCCTGCACACTTACTGTTGTTAGTACCATTGAGTTGTCTGAGACTAATAGCCACCCTATGTGCAATAGCTCTGAAGCCTACCCTACCCTGACCCAGTCTCACTGACTCTGACACACCTACCCCCATGACCCCAGTTACTGTGTCAGTCCATCTCATCCACAGTTTTCCTACCCTTATGAGCATGATGTCCTTCTCCAAGAACTGGTCTCTCTGGTCACATGCCCAAAGTATGTGAGACAGTTTCAAAATCTTAGCCTCCAAGGAGAAACTTGGTTTCACTCTATCTCCAAGAAACATCTATTTGTTTTCTTGGTGGTCCATGGTTTGTTCAAGACTCTTCACTCTCATCACAACTCAAAGGGATTAATTATTTTTCTGTCATGCTTAGTTCATTGAGCTCTCTGATGCATAGCAAGTAACTGTGAAAACCATGGCCAGGATGAGGTGCACCTTAGTCTAATCCTAACCCTAACCCTAGACTGACATCATACTCTGGAGAGATCACAAACAGGATGTTTTTCCAATGCAATTGGTCTTCTGATTTTCTGACTGCTGGTGCCAAAAGTTTTGTTGATTGTGGAGACAAGCAAGCTGTCATTGCTAACAGCCTCAATCCCTTCTCCATCCATCATGATGCTGCTAGTTGACACAGTGGTGAGAAACTTTGTCTTCTTGTTATTGAGCTTCAATCAATATTGAAGACTACAGTCTTTGACCTTCTGCAGCAAGTGCTTCAAATCTTCTTCAGTTTCAGTAAGCAAGGTTGTGTTATCTACAAAGCACAGGTTGTGGATGAGTCTTTCTTCAATCCTGATGCCACATTCTGGCTCATAAAGTCCAGCCTCCCAAATGATCTGTTCTGCTTATAGATTGAAAAGGTATGAAGACAAGACTCATACCTGACACACTCCTTTCCTGATTTTCAACCATGCAGTTGTTTCCTTGATCTGTCCTGAGGACTGCATCTTGGTCTAAGTATGTTGTTGTTGTTGTCAATTGCCATAGAGTTGAGCACAACTCATACCAACCCCATGAACAAAAGGCCTTAAACCCTTCCACAAACATCGCCAATTATCAAAGTTCACAGTTTGCAGAGGCATGCTATTTAGGAATTGGATGCCACTCCTAGGTTTTGCATCAGCACAATCAAGTGTTCTGGGATTCCCATTCTCTTCAAGGTTAGCCACAATTTGTTGTGATTCACACAGTCAAATGCTTTGCATAGTCAATGAAAAACAGACATTCCTCTGGTCGTCCTTGTTTTCTGCCAAGATCCATCAGACATTATCAATAATGTCTCTAGTGCTATGACCTTTTCTAAGGCATGCTTATAATTCTAGTAGTTCTCTGTCCGTGTACTGTTCCAGTAATTTTTATTATCTTCAGCAGGACTGCTAAGAAAACAAACAGATTCATCCCAGAGAGGGTTAAACCAGGCTACTCCTTGGAGACAAGGATTCTGAAGCTTCGTCTGACATATGGTCCTTGGAGAGGCACATCATGCTTGGGAGGGTGGAGGGACAGCGCAGGAGAGGAAGGCCCTCTATGAGGTGGATTGATTTAGTGACTGGGGTAGTAGGGATTGGTGTATCAGAGACAGTGAGACTGGCACAGGACAGAGAAGAGTTTAGGGCTGTTGTACATAGGGTCACAATCGAAGGCACATAACATCAACAACAAGGATTTTTCTCATTTGTGATTTTAGTGATATTGTTTGATAATTTCCAAACTCTGTCGGGTCACTTTTTTTTAATGGGAATAAATAT